CAGCCGTCAAAGTCAAACCCCTTGACTTATCTCCAGGACCTAGATGATGGAGCTGGTCTTCAGGGCCATAAGGGACGATTGCTATCACACGTATGAACCTGTGTACCACCCACTCTCCGCAAGGTGCAGAAGAGGGTGTGGTTTTCAACCGCACTTGGCGGTTGTCCAGCGTCGAGAGATCATTCCCTCAAGGCGCGTGTTAGCTGACACTTGAGTATCGAATGCGACCCTCGGGATTAACGAGGACCGCATGAGTATGGGTACTGCATAGTACGCCATCATTGCGATCGTTTGTGTACGTATGTTTTGCGAGTCGATATGAGTTAGCCCTGCGTCCGCGCAGTTTATACTGAGTCTCACGCGCGACGCCTATCTGATTTCCGCGTCAGAAAGTTATGGGATGGCTACTAAGGGACTAGGAGTGTTATCGCGTTGTTTGTTTTGTGTCGTTCTGTATTTGTATATGTATGTGCGTATGTGTGTGTGTTTTTGTTTTTATGTTCTTAGTGTGGTGTGCGTATGGTGTGTGGGATCCGTCCTAGTCGACCGACGACGGGTCGCGCTTGGGACTTCAGCCCCCCAAGATGCAGATTCTCGTGCGGGGTTGATAGAGGCGTAATACCGCGCGTACCTCCTATACTACAGCGAACGAGAAACGCCCTCGGCTAGTCCACCTCTGCGATTGCAGCTGATCAACTTTCGTACTGTGGACTGGTAGCTCGGGGGGGATACGCCCACCGAAGGGAGGTGACAACTCCCGTAAGGTGGAGGTAAGTCGTGCCTCGCGTAGGCCCTGTCCTGTCGTAGGGGCTTGCGAGAGGTATGGCTGGCGCACTCGGCCGGAGCGGCTTGTGAAAACTCCATGTATATTCGTAACGAGGATTTAGACCAACTCCTGCGTGACGCGGCCAGGAGGGTCTCGCGCTGCCCCGTGCGGTGCCGGACCGATGCGCTCGACAACGGACCTCAGCTTGGTTTGACACAACACTTGACAACAAGTATCCGCCCACAGTAGGGGTCTCTCATGACTTTCATTTGTTCATAGGACGCAGATGACAAGCGACAGGCGACGGGGAATTAGCCACGGACCGCCTAAATATTTTTACTTTAGGTTAAATGCCACTAATGTTATATTCGTGCTTCGAGAGTATGAACACGGTCATAATTGTGTTGAAGTGTGTGCTTTATTGGCCCATAGCAACTTATTGCATGAGTAGTTCCTTAACAAGTCATTAGATATTCATGATCCTCCCCATGTTTTATGAATCACATCGTGCTCTGCGAATGTTCTCAGCCGAAGTCAGGTAATGACCTCGGTATTTCAAATGATCTCAAATGTTCTCAAATGATCTTTATAATTCGATATGGGACGCTGAGCCCAGTTCCCAGCACGTGCTGCTCCCCACGAATAGATTGAAACACTTATTGTTAAAAAAAAAAAAAAAAAAGACACAGCAGGAGTGTGGATTAACACTTACCATTCTTAAGCTTAAGCCCTACTTCTGTTATGTCAATGTTATGTTTATGTTATATATATGTTATTCTGGCACATTGAAGTGTTAGACGTCATAAGTTTTATGTTCATCCTTTCCTAACATGATTCGACTTACCATGAAGGTGATGGTAGACAATCTATTGGTTGTATTGCGCTCTTCCAAGTGGACAGATACATATATATTAATCTTCATTTAGGTTTTCAATTAATACTCCATACCTAATTGTGTAACCTTCTCGTTTAAGTTTTCTTTTTTGTTGGTGTTGTCTCAAACTTGATATTGAGTAAACCACACCATAATGACAAATACGCATTTTGCAACTGTCATACAACAATATTATCAATGTAAACATAACAACAGATATTAAAGAACTTTAGTAACTTATCAAAAAATCTCAACATACATGCTAGCTTTACACAAATCGAACTCATGACCCGTTCACTAACCGTATAAAGATCATACATATGCATAAGATAGTTTGTGCAACGAATTTGTGTCATGTGTTATAACCCTAAAACTCTCAATTCTCTTAAGATTCGTTGTATATAACTATACTGGGTTCGAGTTTAAGTTTGCATTTCATCAGTTGGTGCGAAGGGGGGGAGATGATAGGATATAAAAGAAGGGACCAAGTGCACAATTATTTTGTTTTTCTTCTTGACAGGTTGACTATGTTAGCTTAAGGTGATGACATAATGTTGATGTAGACTAACCAATGAGGCACTGGTGAGTCAATGTGCAACGAAACCTTTGTATCACCAATATGGTTGACTTTTGTCTTTATACGACTTGAAGCATAAAAAACAAATTATGAATTATCTACAGAAGTTGAATTAAAATATTTCATATTATGTATTTTTTTTTTTTCCCGGGATTTTCGTATTCGGTTGTTCTATGATTAATGAATTCACGGGAGTTAGCTATTTTGAAGAATTAACCGAATTTTGTCTGGTTATGAAATATTTTTTTTTTAATTACTCAATCGCTCTTACGATTGCCTCGCCGCTGAGTCCTAAGTACCCAAACTCATGCAATTAAATGAATATGTCAAAGGGTCATCTCACAATACGAAATGACGATATTAATGTCGTATGAATTTTTGTTTGTTACTGTTGCAAAACGGCGTGGCCCGGAACGAACCCGACTTTACGTATCAAGTCCGTTATCCTACCTTTGTGGTGGTGGGTTTTACTGAGTGTTTTGACCGTCGTGAGAGTGACGACGTGCTTTACCATAAAGTTTCCATGTAAAATTTGACTTTGTTGAGGATCAAATGAGTAATAAAAAATAAAGAAGAATGATGGAAAAAAAAATGATAAAAAAGTCTCTAAAACCATATGTTAAGGGTTAGAATTTTTTTTTTTTTATAATGAATGAGTAAAAAAAACACTCTTAGACAACCGTACTTCCGGAATGATTGTCCGCATCAACATCGCAGCGACTTGTCACCAAACTCACCTGACTCCATTTTGTAACTAACCTCCTGCCAGTGTACATGAATGCATGTACATAACACCACAAATGATACTTGCTAAATCTCCCAGTGAACCAAAAATAGGTCATGAACTTGGATAAACTAAATGATAAGGATGCTTATGAGAACTGATACTCATTGCTTCGCTCATTTATTGTTTAGTCTAATTTGCGAGACACCCAATAAACATAATCAAGATCTTTAACAACTCGGTGGTCACTGATTAAATAAGAAAAAAAAAAAAAAAAAAAACCCTACCCCTTCAAAGATATTGACCTACCGATCAATTGGAAAGGATGGCAACTTGGGTTGACTTATACAAAATAATAATGTGTTAGTTAATGTGAAGAATGTAGTTAGACGTATACAAATTGGATTGAAATTAAAGTAAGAATGGATGAACAACAACTTGCCAAATGAAAGCGTTAAATTTGGCGGCATAAAAAATCGCTCCTTTGCTTATGCCTGCTCACTTGTTGTATTGTGGTGCACAAGTTGACCTAGGCATTGAGAAGGGTCGGTCAAACACCAAAAGGGTCAACGAGGGAATTATTGCAGTCTGTAGTGGTAAGTGGAGCATTGGTCGGATATACTATTGAACAAAGATTTCATCAAAATCGACATATTGTACTTATTGAACGAAATTGAAAATCCAAACTGTGGTCATAATTTGATGAAATTAAGGGTACAACATTATAAAAATGCCCTACCCCCTTAATGTATTGGGACTTAGCTGAAGTCCACATACATACAAGGGGTCCGACCACTTTTGGCCTAGACGTACGTGGATTTGGCCAGAGTTCAGATACATAAAGGGGGCATGATGTTTTTAAAATGCCATATCATTAATTTCATCAAATTTTACCCACAATTTGATTTTCAATTTAGTTCAAAAATAAAATATTATCGTTTTGACGAAATCACTGTTATAGCTGCTCTGGGGTAAAGTGTTGGGAGGACCGACGAAGGAATAATCCATCTAGGGTAAGTCCCATTCCCTAACCCTGGACCTAATGTGACAACGTCTATTCCTTCAACTTTAGCCATCGATCTTGACTTACTAATTCATCTCCATCACTAATCCTGAACTGCCAACCTGGAGGAAGTGATTTTATAGGCCGTAGATGTAGTGTGTCATTGGTTGATGGAGGCCCGAGTCTCGTCTCATGGCCGCACCCCTAGCCAGCTGGCCAACCGCTGATGGCGATGTCCAACTCCTCGGTCCCAAAAACGGTGCCAACCAGAAGCACCACTTCAGGACAGCTGCAGTGGAGGGCGGAGATAGGCTCTCATGTTGAAAAGTAGCCCTGTAAAATTGCACTGGGTCTCTGAACATGCAGGTGCATACCATGCACTTGGGCATCCACTGATGGTGCTGTCCAACCCCTCGGTACCACAAACGGTGTCACCTAAAAGCACCACTTTGGGACAGTTGCAGCCAAGGGCGGAGATAGGCTCTCATGTTGGGAAGGGCATAAGTAGCCCGCACTTTGGTCTCTGAACATACAGGTGCATACCATGCACTTGCGCATCCACCCACGGAGATGAACGTTCAGAAGCGGAGAATGCCGGTCAGTGGCACCCTGTCCCAAAGCATTCCCACACAGCCAACTTTCCCCAAAGCATTCCCACACAGCCAGCCAACTTTCCCCAAAGCATTCCCACACAGCCAGCTAACTTTCGGACTTGCAAGCCTGAGCTGGCTGTTGTGCGTGTTTTCCGACCTTTTTCTTTTTTTCCCTACGGGGAATATCTCTGGTCACGATTTTAGGTGCGGGATTGAATTCGCGATCTGTTTATGAACTTGTGCGTGTACCTTTTTTTAAGCGACATCGCGCCAAATGTTCGCCGGGCCACACTTCCGCGCCGATGTCCCGCGTGCACGTGTCCGCAGATAAGCAAGATCAACGGCTAGTACATCTCTTAGTCCGTGCAAGTGTGTACCTTTCTTCTCCGCGAAAGTGTGGCCTCTCGCCCGATATGGGGTGAGCGCGGCGGGACGGGTTTTCGGTTTCGCGCTTGAAGGCGGGCGTTCTTTGAGGAAGTGAGTGTGACGACGATCGGTGTCTGCGCAATTGACTGTGGTCCGCTCTTACGAATACGAACTCCAAACTCCATCACCTTTTCGGGCTTGGGCGGGGAGTAGAGTTATACCCAGGAGCTACGCAGCCTCTCCTGCTGTAGGTCGGTCGTTCACCCTAATCGTCTGCGCAGGAAGGAGTCGTCGCACGCCCTGCGGCCCCCGAGACAGTCGAGAGGCCAGGGAAGGACGGGTGGGTGGGTGGTTGCCCTCCTCGTCCTCGTCCTCGCCCGCGCCCGGTCACACTGGTTTTCTCTCCCGCCCAAGTGATCGCAAAATTTTGAAAAAAACACAAGGGCGGGCGCGAAATTTTCTCCCGCCCAAGTGTTCGCGAAGGAGTTTGATTGTACGGGTACACGTGGTAGTACTTTGCGGCAGAAGCAGGCGCGAAGGAAACGACAAAAATGGCTTCAGGGCTGGAGCCTCTGGTCGAGCGTAAGTGATCTCGTCCATCTCCTTTCCTTTGTTTTTCCATCGTGCATGCCCCCTTCGCATTTCTTTTCTTATTTTCTGGGGCATTTAATCTCTCCGAACGTACGGGCGGAAAAAAAAATAAAATGCAAGTTCATCCGGGCCGGGCAAATTAATGAACCAATATTTGAAGAAAACTGCAAATCAGAATTTGCATAAAACGTCTTTGGGTCATACATTTACCGGCTTTACCTTGGTTCCTGCTTCGACGTCGTTTCTCGTTGCGTAGCATCTTCCTTGTTCTTTCTGCGATCTGCCTTTCCTGTTTCTCTTTCTTCCCTTTCTCATCTCTTATCCACCGTCTCCTCTTCTTCTTTTTTGCTCTTTTTTTTTTTTTTTTCAATCCATTCTTTATCCATCATTTTCTCTATCCTTATCGGTTTTCGTCCCCAGTCGCTTTATCCACCATGTTCTGTCGTTCTTATTTTCTCCAAAATAGAAAATAGGACGTAATTTGGTAACCGGACGCCATCATATCCGCCTCTTCTGCTTCTTCTTCTTTGTCTTCTTCTTCTTCTTCTTCTTCTTCCTGCTTCACCTCTTGAGCTATGGACGTGTAGAAGCTGTGTGACATTCTTCTTCTTCTTCTTCTTCTTCTTCTTCTTCTTCTTCCTGCTTCACCTCTTGAGCTATGGACGTGTAGAAGCTGTGTGACATTCTTCTTCTTCTTCTTCCTGCTTCAGCCCTTGAGCTATGTTCTGTCCTCCGAAGCATGCACGAAGGACAGTCTATGGCCTCTGTTTATCACTATTCTTCTTCCTGCTTCACCTCTTGAGCTATGGACGTGTAGAAGCTGTGTGACTTTACTTTTTTTTTTTGTTTTTTGTTTTTTCAAAGTGCGGACCACTGGCAGTTGGTATCTGCAGTTCACTGTGGACTATTCCTCTTCTTCTCTTCCATCCACCTCTCCTCTTCTACTTCTTTCTCATTCTTCCTCCTCCTCCCTGTACTGCTCCCTGTCCTGCTCCCTCTCCGTCTAGTTCTTTCGACCAAATTTTCCTCAGCATGACAATGTTCTTCCGTACCCGGCGGTGTGCATCATCTCCCTCCTTCTTCTTAATTTGCATCTATATCTTTCTCTACTCTCAAATGGGTTATCTGCATCATCTTTCCAGTTTCCTGTTCTTTTCATTTGGGTTACCTGCATTTTTGCACTTTTTTTTTCTTCTTATTCTTATTCTTATATTCGGTAGACCTTCATTCTTGTTCTTCTTTCGCCATAGATTCAGCGATGACCGGGGTTAAGGTTGATTATCACTCACAGTATATGTCAGGAGGCTGAACCCACTACACTCTGGAGAGTAGCCTAATCGATGACCGGGGTTAAGGTTGATTATCACTCACAGTATATCGTCGGTCAGGCTACTCTCCAGAGTGTAGTGGGTTCAGCCTCCTGACGAGTAGCCGGAACTCAGACGCAAGAGTCTGTCACAGCGCCTCGTTTTTTGTCTCTGCCTACGGTTTACCGGGCACTTCTGTTTGACGTGGCCTTGTACGTAAGAGGTGATGAACAGTTGGGGCTTTCCTTCCTTGTTTTCCTTGTTTTGCTTTTTTTTTTTTTTTTTTCTCGCCTTGGCGCTCTGATTTACAGTGTGACAATATATGTATACTGATGAGTCGGTGAAACTCCGACGAAACAGTTTGTCACAGCCCTCGCTCGTTTGTTGTCCTCTTCTCCCTCTCACTCTCTGCCTACGGTTTACCGGGCAGCTCTGTTTGACGC